ATCTCCAGAGGCACTGTCAAGCCACATACCCACTGTCCCTGCAAGTCACCACACTGATCAAACCATGTACTATGATCTTAGTATTTAACAAAAATGATCACATACCTTTCTTCCCTTCTTAAGAATTTGAATGGGCCCAAGACACCTTCCCTTGGTATGTTTATTTTTCCTCATGTAGATTTGTCTTTTAGATTAGTTTTTTCCATATAAAAAGAGATATCAACATAATACAAGTACAAATGAACCTTTGTTTCCCCCAGTCCACAAAACTCAACATCCACTCCAGGTCTTAACATGGAGTAAAGGCTGTCTTGCTAAATGGTCCATGGTCAGTCAGATGTAAGAATGTAGCAGTAAACAGTGAACCTACATAGGAACCCCAAGGAGACTCTGAGTCCATTTCTCTCACCTTAAGGTTGATGAAGTAAAATTGCATCGCATGGCTCTTGTAGAAATGCCATGGAATAACTCAGGAACTAAAACATGACTGAACATGCACCAGGTCCAACAAAGCAGGAAATGTAGAGAAGAGATCTTGGGTTCTAATCAAAAAGGGTGCTTTGATATTCCCTCTCTGCTTAGGAATCCTGAAGCAACAGTTATGAGGAACATTGTTTGTGTAACTGGCTTGGGCATTTTAGTCTTACCTGGCTAGAAGCCCTGGTGACTTTGATGAGAGAATACTGCTTCGAGGTGCCTTCGTTGTTGAATTTTGCAAGAGACTCAGTGGCAGCTTCCAAAACCCTGGGATCTGACAAGTCAGTGGGGCTGGGGCAGTCAGGGCACATACGGTGAATTTTTCTTCGGGAAACTGTTGATGCCAATGACAGCAGTTAAAAAATATTGATTTTTTTTTTTTTTTGCAGCTGGCCAGTACAGGTTACTGAACTTTTGATCTTGGTGTTATCGGCACCATGCTCTAACCAAGTGAGCTAAGCAGAAGGCCAAAAAAATATTATTTATTTTTAATCCTGTAAATTATATGACCATAACAGTGGCAAAGATTGAAAAAAAAAAAGATAATACTCAGTGTTGGCAAGAATAGGTGAGGAAGACATTTTCTAGGAAGGAATTAAGTGTCAGCAATGAGTTTTCTGTATTATTTATTTTTAATCCTGTAAATTATATGACCATAACAGTGGCAAAGATTGAAAAAAAAAAGATAATACTCAGTGTTGGCAAGAATAGGTGAGGAAGACATTTTCTAGGAAGGAATTAAGTGTCAGCAATGAGTTTTCTGTGATGAGCATATATTACTTTCATAATTTGAAAAAAAGCTTTTACCTCACACAAATTTATTTACTCTAGGAATTTTTTTTTGCAGGGTCGGGTGGGGGGTGGCTAGGCAGCTGGCCAATACAGGGATCCGAACCCTCGACCTTGGTGTTCCAAGGCCATGCTCTTACTAACTGAGCTAACTGGCCAGCCCTACTCTAAGAATTTTGTTTGACGTCACATAATATATCAATGTAAGACTTTTCCCCCTCAACTAGTTCAATATCTTTTCTCGTCGTTGCCTCTGTAAAGTAGATTGAGTGCCTTAAAATGCTGGGATTTCATTACTGCCATGTCTCACTCACCTTTCAGTCCCTAACACCTGACATCATCTCTAACACCCAGTAAGTGCTTACTAAATGCTTGTAGCATGAACGGGTAAGTGACTGACACAATGGAAGGTGGGAGCACACCCTCTTTGTTTAGAAAATGCAAGTGAGCCAGAAAACAAAATTGGCCAAGTCACTGTGACACTCGATAGAATGATGCTAATACTACAGCCAGAATTCGTTTGGGAGGAGCTGGGGGTAGCAAACCTAGTGTGAAAGTCAGGCTAGGAAAGTTGTTTTTTGCAGCACACATTGTTTTGATTAACTGTGTGTTTATTTGGGTTTGGAGGCTGAGGGAGATTTACATCCACAGCTTGTCACTCGTGCGTCATCTCCACATCACTTCCTCACTTCCCACAGATGCGATGCCTATGACTTCCATCCAAGTTCTGAGACCATGGATTATCTCTAATTATTTTAGGTGAGTCTTGTCTTCACAACCAGAAACCTTGAGCTGTGGCTAATAAAATGCTTGCTCTGCTGCCTCATTACTCAAAGGAACCAGCAGCAATATTATCACCTGCAGCTTGTTAGAAATGCAGAATATCAGGCTTTATCCCAGACCTATGGAATCAGAATCTGCACTTTGGCAAGATCCACCAGGGGAATGACATGCATGTGGTAGTTTGACAAGTAGCCATAATCCTATTTTCTCATGCCGTGGATGCTTTCTTTCCAAAGACTTTTTTTGAAAAAAGGAGAACCCAGAATAAATGAATGCATATACCTACTTCAAATGTCATTAGTTTCAGCCTCATTTTTAGTCCAGTTATTCATTTATTTAGCATTAATGACTCCTTACACTTGATAGAAACTAGGGGAGTATGTAGCAGGGAGACAGAGGGATAAACTATTCTACAACATAAGACTCCAAATCAAGGCAGTGTGTGGTCTGTGCTCCACGAGTGGTTTAGCCAAAGTTTTATAGAAACGTAGAACCAGAGAGCACTGTTCCTTTCTGGAATAGAGAATACTGTGGAGGAGGCACCATTAGCAGTTGTTCTTAAAGAAAGGATATAAGTTCCAAGTGCAGATGTCATAAGGAAAGGACATGCTCAGCAGAGGGAGAGGCACAAGCAACAAGCAGAGATTGGAAAGTGCAGTGTCTTTTCAGAAAACAGTGAGATGGTCAGCTGCCCCTCAAAAGAAAATAGTGAGGCATCCGGGTGAAGGGAGTGCAGAGTTGTTATAGTCAGGAAAATAATGGCACAGACAGCTGAAAAGAGAGCCTGTGGACAAGTCACAGAGATTGTGCCATTTATGTCAGACTGAAAATTTAGGATTTGATCCAAGACACATTGGAGAGCTATTAAAGGTAATTTAGTAAGATTAGATTAACTGCGAGAATAGCAGTATAGAATGAATTTCTGCAGGGAGGGAGGTACTGGAAATATTAAGCAACTTATTTTGGAATAAATATGAAGAAAGGATAGGAGAACCCAACCCTACACACTCTTGGCACAGTCCTGGTTAAATACTCTTTTTCATCTTTAATTAAAATTAACAAAATCCTAGTGATCTCTTACCTGGGCGAAGAGTACAGTTAAAAGCAGGTAAATAGAGAACTCTTCCTGGCTTGTTAATGTAAAACATTGCTTTGCATTGACCATAAACCTGAAACCAACAAAATAACGTTATATAACATGGTGAATGGAACTACGAGTTTTTAAAATAACCCCAAAAATGGAATTTGGAGATTTTATTTTAAAGTAATGAGAAACTTAACATCAAATTCTGTGGTTTTAGGTGGGAGGAACTGCAGCAGTTAAACAAATCTCCTGGAACACAGTTAGCTCTGCTTCCCACTTCCCTCACAGTTAGGAGTGACTGTGTATAACCGAGTTCTAACCACGTGGAGGTGAGCAGAAGTCATGTGTAATTGCTTCTGGGCCCAGCTCTTCCTCTTTCCATAGATTGGTGCAGATGAGCATGGTGACCACGGAAGCCACGAGGCAAAGGTGGCTGAGTCTAGAGCCACAGCATGGAATGAACCTGGGTCTCCATATCACTCCTGGAGAGATATTCCCTCCTGATCTTTACGTGATAAACTTCTATCATGTTAGAGTCAGTATACATTTTTTAGTGTGTTGGTTATAGCAATTAGTGTCACCTTTACAAATATAATTTACAACAGGGTAAAGAGTATTTACTTTTTAAAATCAGGTAAGTGCAATTTTACAAATTTGGTTAAATAATTAGGAAAGATATCTTGATCAAAAAGTTTACTTATGGCTGGCCAGTCGGTTAGAGGACCATGTTACAACACCAAGGTCAAGGGTTTGGATCCCCATATCAGCCAGCCACCAAAAAAAAAGTTCACTTATAAACACTTACATCACTGTCCTGCACTCATGTTAAAAAGTTCACATAAGTTAATGGAAATAATCCCAGGATAACTGAGATCAAAATGAAAATTGACTGTATTATTTTCAAGTCTCTTCTATGGTTATCTTTGAAAGGATAATTTCTGAGGCCTTTTATGTTCTATGATTCTGGGAAATTCTTCCATGTCACCCCTAAGGCTCCCACACTCTAAGCCATTCCTTCCCCTTGCCTCAAACCTCATATCAGTGTTCCTTAAAACAGAGGAAAGCAAAATAAAACAAATTAAAGAAAGCTCTCCTTCCATGGCTTCTGCAGTCTACCTTTACCCCACATCCAGAATCTTCGCCTCGGGTCTTTTTTTTTTTCTTCCACAATTCAAGTACTGACTCAGAGCCTTCTGGAGTGTCGTGAAGGTAGAAAATAATTTTGGGGCAACTTTTCAGTTCTGGTCTGCATGACCCCAGTGGGACTTCTCAGAAACCCTCTGATTAGTTTACTTTGTTCTGTCTACAGCAGTAGAATAAACACATGGGCACCCTGCCTAGGAGATTATAAAGAGGGACATTTAAAAGATGGCACATGTTGAGCAATCCTTATCCTGTAGAAAGACGGCATTTCGTTTCTTTCCCTAGAGCCCCTGAAAACAAGCACTTACCGACTGATGAAGGCTCCTCACCCTACAGTCCTTCCACGCCTTCCTGCTGAGCACATGGCAGTCAGTCTCCAACACGTCCAGCGTGAGGTAGAACAGAGAGCCCAGGCCATCCTGTGGGGAGGGGTGGAAAAATGCATCCCACAGGAAGCAGAAACCCACAGACTGGACAAAAAGCCCCTGCTTTATGAGAGAGTCAAAGGATGTTTGTGAAGATGCCGTGTAAACTGCTGAACCCTAGACAAGTGTCTGAGTAGGATCCCTAGCCCAGGCCATCCTGTGGGGAGGGGTGGAAAAATGCATCCCACAGGAAGCAGAAACCCACAAAGAGTGGACAAAAAGCCCCTGCTTTATGAGAGAGTCAAAGGATGTTTGTGAAGATGCCATGTAAACTGCTGAACCCTAGACAAGTGTCTGAGTAGGATCCCCGTTAGCACTTGTTCCCAATAACGATGAGAGCATTACAGCACAGCCTGGCAGAGAAAAGCGAAGCATTCTCAAGAGGGTTTCCAATTTGGAAAGCACCTGCCAACATGTATCTCTGGGTTCCCATCCCCAGCAAGTCTCTGACGCTTGTCCAAACGCCTGCCCCAGAGGGGGGAAACATCACTTGCCTGTCTGTGTTCCCGGACATCGTTCACTCGGTCGAGGCTCAGCACATAGCCATCCTTTCGGTCATTGTTGATGTCCTGCAGGGCAAAGCCTGCGACTGCCAGCACATCGGAGTTGTTACAACCCCGGGAGAGCAGAGGTGAGGGGTTGGGGTACTGCTGAGGCAGAGACACTGCCCCACAACATGCAGCCAGGGCACAGAGAACCAGGGGTAAGAGCAGACCCATTCTGTGGGGAAGAAGCCCCAGAAAGGGTCAGTATGTGGTCCTATAGCGGTGGGCTGGCTTTCGGGGCTACTTAAGGCAGACTTGAGAAGTTCTGTAATTGCAATTTGGATAGCTGACCCGGATTTGAGATACCATGTCCCAACATATTACCTTGAATTGTGAATGTGGATTTCCCTGAGTTAGTACTTTGGATAGGATTTGTCAGTGTATCTAACCTTAGACCCCCTGAGCAATCTCATATTCATGTAAACAAACTGGTTTCCCAACCTTTTTCCAGGCAATCATAACAAACATTTGGTCAAGGTTCTTATGATTGGGTCCCGGTTTGTGTTCAGGTCTCCTCCTGAATCAGAATATGTGGGATT